GGGCTAGGAGCGAGGCTGATATTTGGCTAAGGAGATGGTCATATTTACGGGCCGAATGTGGCTTCTGCTGAGGACTTCAAGGACCAGCCAATCCTCAGGCCAACAGATTATGGCTGAGGACACTGAGTTTCCACGATTAGAAATATTATCTGTGTGTTCCCCTCTTGCTTCTCTACAGAGACAGGAGTGAGTGTGTAGATCAAAGAGCTTCAAATGGGACACATTAAAGGCTACAAATGTACCCTAAAAGAGTACCTCCCCACTGCAGAGACAACAGTACAGTTTATTTAGAAATTTAGAAATCTTCTCTAGTGAGTTGTGGTAGTGTTGAAACTTACTCATAAAGCAATATAGATATGGAAAGTATTACAACTTATTTGTTGCTGTAATAAATTTAAACTTCTTTGTAAGCCTCCATTTTAAATGAAGGCAAGAGTGGGGAGTTTATTTTGCTGCTTTTGTCCTCTCTAAAAAACCTTTGCCTATTCCCAAGTTATAAAGATCTTTTCCCTCTGTTTTCTTCTGTAAATTTTATAGTTTTCTTTTACGTTTACATCTTCTATCTATAGGTTTTGTATATAGAGTGACAATAAGACTCAAGATTCATTTTTCCCCATTTGAATAAATGTGTAGGTCGTTATCTGAACTCTCTATTCTGTTCCACTAATATAATGTGCCAATATCACACTGTTTTTGATTACTCTGGTTTTAGAACAAGTCTTCAATCTTTGTTCTTTCTTTTAAAAATATTTTGGCTTTTCTAGGTCATTTTCAGTTCCATATAAATTTTAGAATCAGCTTGTCAGTTTCTATTAAAAAAAAAAAAAAAGACTGCTGAGGCCAGGTGTAGTGACTTATGCCTGTAATCCCAGCACTGTGGGAGACCGAGGCAGAAGGATCGCTTGAGCCCAAAAGTTTGAGACCAGCCTGAGAAACATAGTGAAACCTCATCTCTACAAAAAAATACAAAAATTGATTAGGTGTGGTGGTATGTGCCTGTAGTCCCAGCTGTTTGGGAGGCTGAGGTGGGAGAATCACTTGAGCCCAGGAGGTCAAACCTGCAGTGAGCCATGATAGCGCCACTGCACTCTGGTCCAGGTGACAGAGTGAGACACTGTTTCAAGAAAATAATAAAAAAGAAAGAAATTTAAAAGAAAAAATACCGGCCAGGTATGGTGGCTCACACCTGTAATCCCAGCACTCTGGGAGGCCAAGGCAGGTGGATCCCTTGAGGTCAGGAGTTCGAGACCAGCCTGGCCAACATGGTGAAATTCCATCTCTACTAAAAATATAAAAATTAGCCAGGCATGGTTGTGGGCGCTTGCACTCCCAGCTACTCGAGAGGCTGAGGCAGGAGAATCGCTTGAACCTAAGAGGTGGAGGTTACAGTGAGCTGAGATCGCGCCACTGCACTCCAGCCTGGGCAACAGAGCGATACTCCATCTCAAAAGAAAAAAAAAAGAAAAAGAAAAAAAAAGAAATAATGCTGCTGGAATTTTGTTTGGGATTTCATTGAAACTATCAACTAACTTGGGTAGATATGACATCTTCCAAGTCTTCCAATCTATGAACAGGATATCTCTCTTTCTTTTTTAGGACTTTGTAAATTTTTCTTAGTGCTGTTTCATAGTTTTAGTGTAAAAATAATGCACATGTTATGTTGAATCTATTTCTTGGCATTTCATTTTTTTGAAGCTACTGTAAAGTGGTATTTAAAACTTTTTAATTTCTAATTATTCACTAATATAGAGAAATGCAATCAACTACAGAAGAAAAAATAATAAATTTCAACTCATCAAAAGTAATGTCTTCTGCTCTTCAAAACACACCACTAATAAATGAATAGGTAAGCCACAGAGTGGGAGAAAATATTTCTAACACGTATATCCACAAATAACTTGTATCTAGAATATATAAAGTATTCCTGTATCCCAATAATAAAAGACAGACCTCCTAGTAAAATATGGGCATAATACTAGAATAGACACTTCACAAAAAAGATATATGAATAGTTAATAATTATTGGGAAACTGGTTAATATAATTAGTCGCTGGGGAAGCACAAATTAAAAGTACAATGAGATACCATTTGATATCACTAGAATGACTAAATTAATCACACTATCAATACCAAGTATTGCCGAAGTTGTGAAGCAATTGGAACTCTAATTTAGTACTGGAAATATCACACGACCACCTTTAAAAACAGTTTGGCACCTTCTTCTAAAGTTAAGATATACATTTACCCTATGATTGGGCAATTTCTTTCCTAGGGGTTTACTCAAGAGAATGAAAACATACGTCCACAAAAAGACTTGTACACTCATGTTCATAGAAGTTTTATTCATGATGTAAAACTGGAAACAACTGTAACAATTATCAACAAACAAATGAATAAACTCGTTGTAGTATATCTATAACACTCGCTAATATTCAACAATAAAAAAATCAACTGCAGATACACACAACAAACTGAATGATTTCAAAACATTATCCGAAGTGAAAGAGGCCAGAAGCAAAGTAATCCATGTTGTTTGGTTCTATTTTTATGAAATTCTTGACAGAATTCTATCTTGATAGAAAGCAATCTACATTGACAACTAATCTATATTGACAGAAAGCAAATCAGTGGTATTCTGGTGCTAGGGCTGGTGAAGATTGATTGCAAGGGAGCATGAGGGAATGTTTGGGGATGATAAAAATGTTCTGTGTCTTGATTGTGGTGGTTGTGATTACATGAGTGATGCATTTGTCAAAACTCTGAAATGTAGGCTTAAAATGGGCATGTTTTATTGTATGTAAGTTACACCTCAATTTAAAAATGTTTAACAGTCTTTCAAATTTAGTATTTTTCATCTAAGATCAGCTTTCTTTGCATATTATTCAGCTAAATCTGAGGTTACTCTGATTATTAGGGTTGTTTCTCCCCTCTCTTGTGTTTATTCCTCCTTCTTCATGAGTGTGTCTGGTCTAGGGGAGAGCGCATGTGTCCTTGTGGTAGTGGTGGGGGAGGTGGTTAGCATCCAGGCCCTCTGGTTGTTTTCTAAGTTCTCATTGGCCCATGCAGAGGTTTTCCTAGTATTGGTTACTGGGCATCCTCCTGGCCTCCTGAATGTCCATATAAATTGAAACTCATCTTGGTGCTCTCCAGGTGATGGCTTCTGTCCTCCTTGTGTACTTTGCTGCTGGGAACTTACATTTTGTATTCTCCATATGGCCAGGGCCTGGAGGAATTCCCCACCTTTCTTGTTGTAGTTCTTAAGGGTCACCTATGGTTTCCATTTGGCTCAGCACATTTGCCATGGCATCCCTCTTCCGTTTGCTGTGGCCCTGGCTCTCATCTCAGCTATCTTCTGTGTCTCCATTGAGAACATGGGAGAATCCCCCCATCACTTCTGTGCCACCTAGGAGGTGAAGGACTGTCAGTGGGCACTCTGTTTCTCTCTGCTTAGACAGAGGGGACTGGTGAAGTTGTGTCTTCCCACAGTTATACACGGCACACATAGCACAGGCCTCCTTATTGGCACTTCTCCCTCAGCTACCTAGGTTAAGGGAAAACTATCTCTTCACCATACCACATACCTGTCTGGGCCAAGACTTAGGGAGTGGGAGACATAGTCCCTAAGAAACCTGGGCAGCTCATCACCTTTCCTTTAAAATCCGTTTCTCTTTCCTCTCAGGGTAGGCTTGTACTTTCCCTTTCTGTGTGGTGGGAATGTCCCCTATAACACAATCCCATGATTCCTTGCCTGTGGATGCATTTATTCTGCATGGGGCTTATGTCTCATTCCCTATAGCAATAGGCTTCTTGACTTAGCCTTAATGACATAAGGGAACATTTAAAGGAACCTGGCTTACCAGAAAGGGGTAATACATCAGAAGAATTTTTTAAAAAAATTACCTGTAGTATAGGAATATTTTAGAAATGCCTAAAAATAAGGAGACTGGCAAATTTCATGATTCTTAAGCAATAACAAAGAGGAATTGTCTCTACCTTGAGTTATTAAGTAAACAAAAAGCAAAGTTAATTAGAATTTTACTGAGAGTGCTTATCTGTACCAGTTAACTTACATATTAGGGAAGATGTAGTTAGTAGTCATCTGGTTTAGAAGACAGGCATCAGTAATTCAATATCCTGATTTTATTAAAGAGGAAATAGCAGCAGAAAGGAAGTGATTCATACAGGGTCACTGGGACTCAGCCCAAATGCCCACCATTGGTATTTTTCCATCATACTCTATCTCTTTTGTGGCTACAGACCAATTTATAAGGTAAGAATACAGCTAAAGGTGAAGGTGCTGGAAATAGAAGGAGTCAAGGAAGGAAAGAACAAGGGAAAGTCAATGTTGGAGGCCTTCCAAAACAAGTGCTTCTAAGAATACTCTTCCCTTTATTCTAGTTGCTTACTGACTATAAGAAATTTGTAGGTTTTCTAGTGATAAAAGGAATCTCTTCAGAAAACTTTACTGTAGGCAACATGAAAGAGTTGCCTCACAAATGGAGCGCTTTACTGCAACGTTACTGAATGTTAGCAAGAATTTTTTGCAAATGATTTTTTTTTAAAAAGCAAAGAGGATAAAGTGAAATTGAGAATACATCCCAACTTACACTGTAAGGAGTAATCTTAGAAGAACATCATCATATAGTACTTCTTTCATCTCAGAAAATTTTTCTGAAGCCAGAATGGGATACAAAATACTGTTCCATTTGATGAGTAGAATTCATCAGTGTTAATGTCAAAATAATATGAATCGGAGGCTGATTAGTAAAACGAAGAGTTGCGAGATGGTAAATGCTTCCCTTGCTTATAGTTTTGGCCTGGGGTGCAGTGGCGTGATTTCGGGTCACTGCAACCTCCATCTTCTGGGGTTCAAGCAATTCTCATGCCTCAGCCCCACAAGTAGCTGGGATTACGGCATGCGCCACCACGCTCAGCTAATTTTTGTACTTTTTATGGAAATGGGGTTTCACCATGTTGGTCAGGCTGGTCTCAAACCCCTGACCTCAAGTGATCCTCCCATCTCGGCCTCCCAAAGTGCTGGAATTACAGGTATGAGCCACCGTGCCCGGCTGCAATACTATTAACTTAATAAAAGACCTGGCCATTATATTTGTCTATTATCAGGTGGGTTAATTATTTACAAGAATGCTGAGGTTAATGTTGTGGGAGAACTTCAGACTGCTTCAAAGTCTCCAGGAAACAAGGTTTGCCCTGTCTAACCTGCACATTTCTTCTGAATATGTATAAATCTATTAAATGACCTGTTTTGAAAGAAACTCACATGCGCTGTTTTGTGAACAGCCGTATACCCTTGTGATAACCTTGTCGGCTTCTCCCCCCTTCCTTTTGTCGTGGTCACTCACATGAATGGTGCTTAAGCGTTAGCATTGCTTGGACATCTTGTTGACAGAAACGCCAATAACAATTTTGAAATCTCAGAGCGGATGGACAAGTGCACCATCCAAAGTCAGCCAAAGCTACTTGCCTCCATTTACACTCACATGCAGTGTTGTCAGGGGAGTCCTTTCACTTCTCTGAGCTTCAGTTTCACCACTGAGGAAGAGGGAAAGACAGCATTTATCTCTGAGGATGGTGAAGATCAAATGCGCTTACTCATGAGAAATTGTCACTAATAGTATTGCATACAAATGGTTGCAGAGAAGCTCTTTCTCCCCACCCTGGTGTCCCATGAGGATGTTCCTTGTCCCGTGGTTTTACCCAGGTTGACTCTGTGACTTACAACAGACCTTTGTTCATCATGCTATCACCACAGCTATCTTGGGATGATTATTTAAATTTTTTATTTGGATTTATACAATTGGATTTTTGGGATATCTTATCAAATCAGTTCTTAACTTATTACATGTGGAAATGCCAAACAGAGGATGCTCGCCTAAAACAAATGAAAAGGGAATCATGTGAGTTTAGCAGCAGCAAAGTAAAAATTAATGATGCTTAATATTTTTGTAAAGAAACAGAACATTTTATTTTGCCAGGGGCTTGTTGCCTACAGTGTGTCTGCTACTGAATAATCACCTCATTTTCAATGTGCCATATCAATAAATGATAGCTATTTTCAGCCCTTGAGAAACTGTCCAAAAGAGACTTTTGTGCTCACCGAAGGAATAGACCTGAAATATCTATTTAAGAAAATTATATGTAAAATGATATTTAACACAGTTTTGGAAATGAATAATAATCATGCCAGCTCAATTGTATTCCTTTTTACATATTCTTCCTACTTTTTGTGACAATTACAGGCATACAACTTTTACAGAAGCTTTACATAGCTTCCCTCACAAAGTATATGAGGGTCTTTTCTTGGCTTTAACGTTGCATCATGATGGTTTTCCGTATTACAATATTATCTTCCTGTTTATAATTGTAATGAATTGTACTCTTCCATTTGTTGAACATGTCATAATTCTCCAGACACTTCCTGGTTGTTAAACATTTAGGTTGTTTCTGTTTTATGTATTATTGTTAATGCAGCTATTATTTTTTGCCCATAGTGGCTTCTCTTACATTGTTTTCTTAGGATAGCCTCCCAGAAATAGAATCACTGTTGAAAGAATGTGGATACCTTTCTAATTCATGATCCATCACATTATGTTTCTTTTTAAAAGGGCTGTTGCACAGCTCTGGCTGTTTCAGTCTTCTTTCATAGCATAGGGCGGCACTAAGGATGGTCCTTATACCAGATGTTTATGGACAGGTGGATTTATAGTCTTACACTGGAAAACAACTTAACCTTGGGGTTTATTTAAATGGAAAAGCCTAAGAAGAAGCTAGGACTATACCAAGGCAGAAGTTTCTAAGTTGTGCCTTTTTTTACTGGTACAACTGATGGTATCACATCATAACACTTGGCAGCTAATTGTGTCCAACTGGTGAGTTATTCCATTGTGTGTGTTTGTCACAGGTGTAGGTAGACTCTTGAATGCCGGTTCTGTCGGAATTGAGAGAAAGAGAGGGTGCTAGGCATAAAACGTACCATAAACGTGACTCACATGGCTGTTTAAAAAGCTTTGATTTATTTTTGGGCAGAAGTTGAAAATCTTACTGCCTCCAGGGGCCTGGCAGGTAAAGCACACAGGAACTGCACACAAATGTGTGCAGGACAGGGTGTCAGGGATAGGGTAAAGCGGAAGTGCAGGCCTTGTCTGAAAGGGGGCACTGCTGCTTGGCCCCATCTCATGGCTGCCACAAGGGAATGCAGCCCAACGTATTTTTAGAGCTTGCAGTTTTTCAAAAGAATTTGGAAATTTGGATAGTATCTGATCTTTACAAGTGCCAACTAATGTAAACATTTAAAAAACACTGTAGGCATAATGAAACTGTCCTGAAGCTTGATTGGCTCGTTGCTGCCAGTTTGTGGGTGCTCTCATTTGACTATAGCTATGATCCTGTGAAGTAGGCCAAAGGTAATTTTTTATACAAACAAGGAAGGCTTAGAAGTTATTGTTCAACAGTTCATGAACTGTGCCTGTCCCATTAGGATGTGAGCTTCCTGAAAGCAGGGCTATTGTCTCTTTTCTGCAATGCTCATAGCCCAGCTCCTAGAATAGTTTCTGGTGCATATTGGACACTCAATAAATATTGAATTAATGAGTGATGAACAAATGAAAAGAGGTTAAATCACATGGCAAATAATATCTACATTTATGTGCCAGGTATTCCTCATGTTTTTTCTCATTTTAATATATACAACATTTTGTGAAAGTAAAATTATTACCTCCATTTTATGGGTAAGTAAACTGAAGCTCAGAGACATAAAGTAATTTGCTTGAATTCATATAACTCTTAAGATGTAGAGTCAGAACCCAGATCTTCCAACTGGGTCTTGGCTCATTGACTTTGTCCTCAAACTAGCTTCTTTCATTGTTAAGAGGTGGCTGCTATAGATTCAGTTATTACATCCAGAATCTACAGGAAGAAGAGGGGCTTGTTTCTTCCTCGTATCTTTTCTTAAGAACAGAGAAACATTTCCCAGAGGCTTCTCTCCATAGGTCATTGGCTAGATACTTCCCATTCTGTGCCTCATCACTCACTCACATGGAAACGGGAGACCAGTCCAAAACCAGTCCCTGAACCAAGGGACTGGGCCCAGATGGCCACTGGAGAGAGCAGCTAAGAGTTGAATGCTAACAAAGCCAGGGTTATGATGGAATAGAGGAAGGGATGGACTACCGGCTCTGTCTGCTGCAGCAGGCTGTGTGTGAAAGCAAAAATACAGAGTTTTTCCTTGAGCGTTTCATTTTGGGGAAGAAAGTAGATGACTGTTAAAGCTACTTATTCATGACACAAAGTTATGTTTTGGAAAAACTTACTCTGAAGCTCCAGAGTGTTAGAGACACCTTTAGAGGGTTGGTTTTGCTCTGAAATTTCACAGCTGGTCAAGTCAGTGACCTACAAGAATGTTTCAGGGAAATACCAAGGGTACCATTTAAAGAACTGCATTTATAGCTACGTCAGGCTGCAATTCACATCATCCTACTGGTGTGTCATCAGCAAGAATTATGTGTATAATTAGACAAAAATGTTTATGAATTTATACCAAGGAATAAGGAAGTGTAGTAGAAGCAGTGCAAGGCATTGGTTAGGAAGACTGGCCTTGGAATCAGACCAAGGTCCATAACCCATTTCTGCTGCTTCATTATCTAAAGAATAATAAGGCAAATTACTTAATCTCTTTAACTTGAGTTTCTTTACCTATAAGATAAGGATAATAATATCTACTCTTTATGGTTCTTGTAAGGATTAAATGAGATACTGTCTGTAGTGATGCTTGCTAGAAGCTTGACCTGTGGCAAGTGCTTTGTAAACAGCAGCTCTGTATCACTGTTATTTTCACTTAGCGCCAACACCAGTATTTTGGCTATTACTCAATCCCCAGGCCAGTGTTTCGCAATATTATAATTTCCAGTAATAACTTTTTTTCTTTATCAAGAGGTTTAGTATTTATGCCAGTATTGGTCTCCCGATACTTTTGATAGATTTATAATTTCAGTTGTACACTTAATCACCTTTGTCAGTCTCCCCAAAGTCACCAGATGGTTAACAGCATGACGATGAAGACCTGAGGCTTCAAAAGGAACAAACCTAAGTGATGTATGTGGGAATTATTCTTGTTGCCTTAGCCTCACTACCCTGCTCTGTATGCACTCTCTGAAATAATCAGCCACCAATTTGTTCCATCTTCAAAGATGCACACTTACAAATTTCTGTTATGAGCCATTTTCTTGAGAAAGTTGTGTTCTTAAAGTAAATGCTTTTTATTAGGCAATTTGTTTTGCTCGTAATTTACCAGGTGGTACGTAGTCTTTGTTCATGAAATAATCCACACATTGTCATAGTTGAAATGATATTTCATTTAATTAATGTTAGGATTTCTTCCAGTGATCACAATAAAATTATAAAATAACTGGGTAATTTGCTCAATTCTGTAGAAGAAGTAGGTGTTGAAACTCTTATTTTTCCTCTCAAAAAATTCATCCCTGACTGTAATTAAGAAGCCTGTTTGACAAGCCTTGGAATACCTTAAGAAGCACCTTATCTCACAGTTTCTATGGGGTCAGAATCCAGAAATAGCTTAGCTGGGTCCTAGGCTAAGGGTATCACAAAGCTGCTGTCAGGTTGTCAGTGAGACCGTCCTTAACTGGAGGTTCAATTTAGGGGAAATTCTGCATCCGGGCTCACTTGGGATGTTTGTGAAAAAGCAAAAAACAAAAGACCCTGAGATCTTCATGTTTCTTGCTGTCTGTTGGAGGCTGCCCTCAGCATCTACAGCCTGCCCATGGTTCCCTGCCAAATGGCTTTCTCCTAGGTGTGCAGCATGGCAGTTTGCTTCTTCAAGGACAGTGGGAGAGCGAGAGTGGCTAGCAGGCCTGAGTCATATATAACATGACATAATTGTGAGAGTCAGGTTCCTTCACAGGTGCCATATTCTGTTGGGTAGAAGCAAGTCACAGGTCCCTCCCACGCTCAAGGGAAGGGATTACATAAAGATGTGAACGACCAGAGCCAGGACCATAGGGGTACCTTAGAGCCTGCCCACCACAAGGAGCTTTGTGTATTGTGACCACTACTGAATCCTTAGTGCCCTAAAATGGTGCCTGACACATGCTAGGGATTCAATAAATACTTACAGTTGAATGAATGAATGAATGAATGAATGAATGCAGATATTACTTCTTTGAAGTATGTATTGCTAATGTTTTGTCCCCAAGCCTGTGGCTTACCTTTTGGTTTTGTTTATTAATCACATGTTTTAATACAGAAATGTTAAATTTTAATTTAGACAAATTAACAATTTTTTTTTATCTTGGTTTGTTTTATTACTTTACATCTCAGGGAGTTTTCCCATCTAGAAAACAGATAAATATTTGCCAATATTTTCACCTAGGTTTTTAACTACTTCTTTATTTTTTTACATTTATTGATTTATCTGGAAGGTCAAGAGCTAAATGGAGAGTTGAACAGAATGTGGTAAATAATACTTTTTTTCTTCACTAATCTTTTTCTTTTTACCTTATTTGGATTGTATTAAAATATTATATACTAGTTTCTGGGCTCTCTACTTTGTCTCATTTATTTGTCATTCTCTTCTTACTTCAATTACATGCTTAAAAATTTATAGCATTTTAAAATATGCCAAGAAGTTTCTGTCAGACTCATTCTGTATAATAATTAGGCTATGTTATAAGCTGTTGTAACAGAGAGACTCCAAAATACAGAGACACAAATAAAATGGAAGCTTATTTATCTTTTGTGTAACAGTGTAGAGATGTGCAGAGTCCAGGGTAGGAGGGCAGGTCTCCCCAGAGTCATCTGGGGACCCAGGCTTCTTCTGTCTTGTAGCTCTGCCAGCCCCTAGACTGATGTCCTGGTCTGTGTGATTGAAGTGGTTTCATATCTACATCCATCTTCCAGTCAGTTGGAAGAGGGTGCTGGAAGTCCTTGAAAAGTACCTTTGCCTTTGAGTTGATGAACCAGAAGTGGCACACATGACTTCTGCTCACATCCCTTTAATGGAGACTACACTTTATTGCCACAACTACCTTCAAGAGAGGCTAGGGAAAAATGGTATCAAATAGAGTAGACATGCATTTGACTACAATTTGAGAGGGTCTATTCTATTTTTTATAAAGAAAGTATGTACCAAGGACAGCAAATAGTCTGCCCCAGTCTAGTATTCATAGTTACAAATACTCATATTTAATAGGAAAGTAATAATCATGTTTTACCAAGTGAAGAAAAATTAACCTTTGGACATAGCAATAAGATATAAATATGTCCTGATTTTTGGTTTTAGATGACGAGTAACCCATGTGCCAGGTAGCGTTCTATGCCAACCTTGAATGCCAACAGGAAGTCACTGGACAGCAAACTCTTCCAAGATCATAACTTGGCTGTTGGAGCAACCTGGAAAAGAAGAAGAAAGAAAAACGATGGCAAAAGTAAATAGAGCTCGGTCTACCTCCCCTCCAGATGGAGGCTGGGGCTGGATGATTGTGGCTGGCTGTTTCCTTGTTACCATCTGTACCCGGGCAGTCACAAGGTAGGTAGGATTTCCTTCTTGACTTATTAAGATGACCTGGCCTGTCTTTTCTTTTAAATCTGCTTCATTCTGTTTCTGAACCCATCATTGTGAAGATATGTGTGTGTGCATGTGGTGTGTGTGTATTTCCATTGACGGCTCAGGTATTGTTTTCTTTGCAAAGTATGTGATTTTCTGACACTTATGAGTCCCAGATAGTGGTCTTTTCTATCATATCTGATATTTAAACCTGGAGTCTTAGGACAGTTGTAGGCCAATGCTGTGACTATTCCAGTCGTTCATTTTCATAAGCAGCTCTAGAAGATGTGGAAGGAAACATTTATTTCTTTTTTCTTTTCACTCTTCATCTTCCACTCTTCATTAATATGAAATAGTGAAAACTCATCACATATGAAATAGCATGGGAAATGTCCTACAGTATTTTCATAATGAAATCACTTTTGTGGGGATTTTAAAGAATTGGTAAATGCACACCTGAGAAGGTAAGTTAGCTTAAGCCGGCATAGCTCCAGGGGAGGGTAAGATCATTTCTACAAATGTGTTTCTCCAGAATTTTTAACTCTTTCATCTTAATGATAAATCTAAATTAAGATAGATCTTATTCATTAAAGTTTTACAAAGCTAATAGGATGTGTGATCTATAATTCATAAATCAAGAAAAACACTATGGGCAAACTGATGACAAGAGATCATAATCATAATGGTGTGATATGGCTTTAAGTCTAGGGGTGAGGAAAACAGGTGCCAGGTGATAAGAGTATGATTATAAAGTTTGTAGTGGATGTGTGAATGTGTCACACAGAGTTAATCTTACACAGGGTTAGGGTCTATATTCATCCCAGAAAGGATAAAACTTGTAAGGCCAAAATAATCCTGGAAAACTCCTTTGCTCCCTAGGGCTCATTAAGCCCCTGGAAGCTTAAAACCTAGAATTTAAATTATTTTGCTTTATTTTGCATTTTGGCTCTTGTGGTGAAGGCTGACTTCTAGGTTGAAGGAGAGCACAAACATAGATACAGGGATTCTCTCATTCTTGCCTGCTCTCTTCTCCCTCTTTCTTTTCTCCAAGGTCACAGTGTTGAATATGCTTAAGTTAGATGCATGTATGTTAGGACTCATCCATCTCATTTATATTTGGAGTAAATATGCATTTGAAGTATACATGTGTTAGCTCTTTCCTCTACAGGTGCTTTCATTCAAATGGAAATCTTTATTTCTCTCCTCTGGCAGCAGACCCTTACAAGAAAGTAATTTGGACTAATTATTTGATGGCATCATCAGTAGAGGCATCAATGTCCCTCCCATAGCAAAGATACAATGCAGGATAGAATAAGATGTTTATCTTTGCTACAGTAAGGTTGGTTGATTGTGTGTCATGATAAACTACAGATTTGTTCAAAATAATATAATTGATGCTGAGTGATTTTATGCTATTGATGGGAATATAAATTAGTCCAGCTATTGTGGAAGACAGTGTGGTGATTCCTCCCTGACCTAGAACCAGAAATACTATGAAGTGTGTTTTTTTTGTTATTGTTGTTTGTTTGGGGTTTTTTTTTTTTTTTTTTTTTGAGACGGAGTCTCCCTCTGTTGCCCAGGCTGGAGTGCAATGGTGCAATCTCCACTCACTGTAACCTCCTCCTCCAGATTCAAGCAATTCTCCTGCCTCAGCTTCTCAAGCAGCTAGGATTATAGGTATCTACCACCATGCCAGGCTAATTTTTGTATTTTTAGTAGAGACAGGGTTTCACCATGTTGGTCAGGCTGGTCTCGAACTTGACTCAGGTGATCCACCCGCCTCAGCCTCCCAAAGTGCTGGGATTACAGGTGTGAGCCACTGCGCCGGGCTGAAGTGTGATTCTTAAGAAGACCTCTGTAAGAGGAATTGGGATATAATTATCCCTTTGACATTGTGACTTCTCATCACTGATATGACAGCTCCCTGGACATTAAGAAGTCTAGATTATGAGTCTATAATATGAGTCTATAAAACTCATCTATAGGCCAGGCGTGGTGGCTCACACCTGTAATATCAGCACTTTGGGAGGCTGAGGTGGGTGGATCACGAGGTCAGGAGATCAAGACCATCCTGGCTAACACGGTGAAACCCTGTCTCTACTAAACAAAATACAAAAAGTTAGTTGGGTGTGGTGGTGGGCGCCTCTAGTCCCAGCTACTCAGGAGGCTGAGGCAGGAGAATGATGTGAATCTGAGATGCGGAGCTTGCAGTGAGCCGAGATTGCGCCACTGCACTCCAGCCTGGGTGACAGAGCGAGACTCCATCTCAAAACAAACAAACAAACAACAACAAAAAACTCATCTATATTATGAGTCTTGTGTTCTGGGTTTAAAGAAGTTGTGGAGTTAAAAGGAATCCTTTTCATCTTAGTCCTTCATATAGAAGCTTCCATCATTCCCATGATGAGGGAGTTCTGGAAGTGGGCACAATGCTTTAGAAGGAGGGATCATGCTGGAATCTTAGGGGTAGTTGAGTCTTCATGATGAAGTTGCACTTTTGTGGAGTTGCCCACAGTGCTTTTCAATGAGATACTAAGATAAGTCTCCCAATCATATAGTCTCATGTGAGTCTTGTGATTTATTCACCCTCTATTTAATAGATTAGGACACTGATGCTCAGAAAGATTGACTTGCCTACATTTATTTTATTTTTATTTTTATTTTTTGAGATGGAGTTTCACTCTTATTGCCCAGGCTGGAGTGCAGTGGCATGATCTCAGCTCACTGCAACCTCTGCCTCCCGGGTTCAAGTGATTCTCTTGTCTCAACCTCCTGAGTAGATGGGATTACAGGCGCGTGCCACCATGCCCAGTTAATTTTTTGTATTTTTAGTAAGATGGGGTTTACCATGTTGGCCAGGATGGTCTCGAACTCCTGACCTTAGGTGATCTGCCCGCCTTGGCCTCCCAAAGTGCTTGGATCACAGGGGTGAGCCACCGTGCCCGGCCTACATTTCTTTTTGTCTAGCAGGACAGAGTTGGACTGGAATTCTAGTTTTTTGTTTTGTTTTGTTTTGTTTTTTACTTCTTATGTGTCACTGTACATACATTCATAATCCATTGACTCTTGAAACAAACACACACACACACATACACACACACACACATAAACACAGAAACCACTATGGTCTTTCCAATACATAATTCAATAGCTTCCTAAACTATTCTCATACGTACACCACACTTCTACCTGCCCCTGCATACACACTACAAACACACAAACATACACATACACACACAAACATGCAAACTCTGCAGCTTATCCTTTGGAACAACTGCGTATTACAAGACATGGGTTTTTGTTTTTTGTTTTTTGTTTTTTTAAAATGGTTATGGGAGTCATTGTCTTAACATGGGCAACTTCTTAATACCCAGTGAGCTGTCATATCAGCGATGAGAAGTCATAGTACCAAGGGAATAAATGTCTCCAAATTCCTCTTACAGAGACCCTCTTAAGAATCACACTTCAGACTAAGGAACCTAGGAACCAAGGAATTAATTATCTTTTCTTCTCATAAAATGTATATCTTAGTGCAAAATTTTTCCATAGGAAAAATTGCAGAGGAACAGGTATTCCTGAGTGCTCCTCAAATTTTCTCCTTACTTTCCACAGTGTTTTACTTTAGTGTAAACTTCTTAGGCTTGCCCCTCCTCTGACATACCACAGACAAATAGGAAAAAGTTAAACACATCTTACTTGCACAATTTTTTTCCAGTAAGATCAAAAGTTAACTCAGGAGCCTAAAGTGGTTTGTTAACTCACTCTACATTGCAATTTATAGGAAGGGGATAATCCATCCTGATTTACCATCACCCCATGATTCTTTCTATTCTTTGAAATTCAGGATTGGATGCATTTTAAGAACTTAAAAACTGTTTAAAAGTGTCAGGAATAATCACTAATAATGCCTCTTTAACACCTTGTTCCCAACCAAATCCTAATTAAGCAAAGCTCTTCAGTATGTGAACAGTAAAGGCAATTTATTCTGTCTGCTTAATATTAAGCTGTATCCAAGTATGAATTTGATGATGAATCGAAAGGCAAAATCAGTTCACTCCAGAAATACCTTCCGGTGGTAGAATGCCTGTCACTTTAGTCGTTTCCTTAATCATAGTTGGTGCGCTTATGCCAAATCTTTCAATTGGATAACTAAGGGAGCTTAACTCTTAAATCCTCTGTACACCAAAAAAGAAGTAAGTAGATGGTTCCAAAGTGCCTATTACTGTTATTTTTCAGACAAGTAAATAGACCCAAAGGTCAAATTCTCATACTTCTGTCTGTAGAAGAACCATGAAGAGAAGGAAGCTGATAGACGCCCAATTTTGTGTTATCACTTGCCCAATCTAACATGTTTGAAAACTCCTGCCTCGTTTGACCAGAGGTATATGGGCTAATGCATATTGGATTCAATTGGTGATGAAACTGGAGGAGATTCTAATAACAGCTGCTTAGATTTGGCAGCACTATAAACAATTTTATCTTTATCAACAGCAAATGGATGCTGGTTCTTTAAAGAAGAAAAAATTTGCTAATCCCTCTGTCTGAAAAAGAACTTCTATAGTATGCTCCTATCTACAAGTAAATAAACAAACCTCCTAGGCGGAACCCAGGTCATCCACACATGCTAACGTCTTTCATTATTGATCCTCAGGGACACAGTGGATGTTCTACAGAGTTTTCCAGGCCCGTCTCCATCTTTAGGATATAACTTAGGACACCACAATCACAATCAGACTTGGGATAAATATGTTTATACTGCTGCTCTCAGTTTCCACTAAGCAAATTACAATAACATTACAGTCTGAATATTTTTGAAAAAGGCACAGGGGGAGAGATCTTTGCTCCAAAAAGAAATGGTAGCTAAAGCAGGATGGAATAAAGGGTGCTCAGTTCAGAACATTCTGGCTAATTCAGTGTTCTGTGTAAAATTAAGTACATGTGTTCTCTGCCTAAAAAAAAAAAAAAATGTAGTAACTGGTTGT